GTCTCATGGTGCAGGTAAGTAGAAAGTGATGAGGTTTATACACGAATATAAAGTACAGTAATTACATGATGTAGGCAAGTGGTGTAACAAGCAATTACTTGGTTTAAGCGAGTGGTGAAAGCAAGACACGATTTACAGATTGTTGCAGCTGGTCGAATCATCCCTTCCAGTGCTCTTATAACCATTATAACTATCTACACGATTACACGATTCAGAGCGACAGTCTTCAATCGTGTAAATTTACACGATTACACAGTTACACGTTTGTTGCATATGGTCGAATCATCCCACCAATGCACTTAACTATTTAAACGATTACACGATTCAGAGCGACAATCTTCAATCGTGTAAGTCTACACGATTACACAGTTACACGATTCAGGTAAATCGTGTAAACCGTGTAATCCAAAAAATATATCGTGTAATCGTGTTGCGGAGATTTTTGGCGTGTTTTTCGGACAACTTTAAGTCGATATAGTCCATATTTAGTCCATTAAAAAATTGACCGCCGAAGGGGATTATATTTTCCCAATGGGTTATATTTACACGAAGTCCGTAGCAAATCAAATAATGCTTCGTACATAAATAATGATTACTTTAGATAAAACATAGCATCACCTCTTGTGTGTATTGTATACAGACCTCCAAAAATACTACGGACTTTTTTTAAACGTTAGCAAATAATTGTAACATTCTTGCTAAAACACACTTTCTAGAAAAATACAGAACTTGTGTGATTGTTTTAATTTCCGTCAGCTCATAAGCAAACCAACCAAAGTAACGCCCACCAGTCGATCACGTATTGATCTTATTTTTGTACCGTCCGTTGAGAGTGACTTCCATTCAGATGTAATTTATTTGGGGATTGGTGATCATTCTTTAGTGTATGTCAATCTGAAGAAGGAGTTTATTTCATTGAGTTACAGCCACATTTACAGGTCTCTCTTGTAAACTACTGCTAATTTAATATTGAAAACTTCATATACGTCAATATTCATAATGTACGCCACAACTGCACATGCATTTCCGTGATTTTAAGCGATTCGGTTTCTTTTGTGCAGGCATTTTGTAGATTTCTCAAGGCATAGTTTTGGTTTTTTCATGGCGGTCGTGATGAGATCAGAGTATGGAAGCATGTTTGGAATGTCATTATGATACTTATGACAGAGTCAGGTCATGCATGTGCACAGGGGCGTAGACAACGGGGGGGATGAGGGGGATGCATCCCCCCCACCTCACAAGGTGGGGGGGATGGCATGTACAATCATCCCCCCCAGGTTTTTGGGAATGATATTTGCTTATTTAATAAGTTATAATGATGATAATAATAGTAATAATAATAATGATAACAATTATAATATTAATAATAATAATAATTATGATGATGATAGTAATAATCCTCATCATTATTGTGTTTATTGTTATTAGCCGCATTCACACTGTGAAAGCCAATTCAGACGGTAAAAAAAAGAAAATCTTACAAGTATTTTGTGGTTATCTTGTGGTTTGGAAACTACAAGATAACCACAAGATTAAACAGGCGCGGATCTACGGGGGGGGGGGGGGGGGGTTAGGGGGTTTAAACCCCCCCCCCCCCCCCTTGGACGGCCAAAAAAACAAACAAAACAAAAAAAGGGAAAAAAAAGGGGAAAAAAAGAAAAAAAGAAAGAAAAAAGAACGCACGCTGGAGAGAAACCCTTTCAAGTGCAAATATTGTGAGAAGATATTCAACTCATCTGGTAACTTAACCAAACACATGATAACTCTGGATATAACTGTGTATTTAACTGTTACTTGATTTAAAAAGACGTTATCATGCACTGCTTTTTATGGTCTCCATTGTGTTAATAGATGCCAGGAACACATCACTTACGGGGTTCAAATAAACACCCCCCCAAAAAATCGGCTCGCCGCTTCGCGGCTCGTGGACGATGCTCCGCATCGTCATTATTTCGGTCACCCCCCCCTTAGCAAAAAGCTAGATCCGCCCCTGAGTCATCCCCCCCAGGTGTACGAACCTGTCTACGCCACTGCATGTGCATAAATGTAATATGGTTACCGATCAGTGTCCATTTTGTAGTAGGTCCATGTTCAAATGAATCTTGCTCCATATTTTCACTATAGATATTTTTTTTTCAAAACCAAAATAAATCTTCATCTCGTTTAAAACCCTTTGTGATATAAGTCAAATTCCAGCCAATATGTTTTGATTAATAATTATCAATAATTTAAACCAAATGCTAAGTTAATTTAAAGCTTTATTGAATGTATATGAAATTGATGAAGCAATATTGGAATGTAACGTCTTGTATTGTTTGGTATGGTATAACATTAAAACAACGCCATTTCTTTAATGAGATTTGTTGCCGGATTTTCTCTTCCCATCTTTCTTTCCTTTTCACATTATTTGATAACCTTCCTTTTACCATTGAAACGGAAATATTTTTACATCCTTTTCTTTGCTTCATCAAAATACTACGAATAATAGTCTAAGTGGGTTAGTTAACCTCATAAACGCTTTGATAGGTTGTGAAAAACTGTCCAACTTTTCACCAATCTTCCCTTGTATAATGAAATTTGTCACGTAATCAATAGAACCAACACTGACTTTTGTTTGCTAGTGTTTGCTCTAAAACGAGACAATTTTCGAAAATGACATCGTTCCGCTAAAAGAAGCATAGAAGCAAAACTACTCAACCCAAATCAATATTCTTGGTGTCATTTTCTTTAGTATGAAATACACTACCCGAATTGGGGGGGGGGGGGTGTGTGTATACAATTCCAACATGGGGCATGAGGTACACCATTTGTTTTAGGCCGGCTGAACAGGGGGGCATGGCCCCCTGTGCCCCCTGTGCCCCCTGTGCCCCCTGTCTACGCCAGTGCCTATAGCGCACGATGAAATGACTATTTTTTTTTCAAGCTTGTCCATTTTAAGCCGTGACTACCAACTCCTTGAAGTTTGAGGAATATTGTTTAACAGTCTGTTCTTTTCTTCGTTTTATTCCTTCTATCTACCCCCCCCTCTTTTTTCCATCACTATCTATATTTTCCATCTTGCAAAAATTTGTAATTACATTTTATTCATGTGAAAAATTTGAGAAGACTGTACTGCTTGAAGCATCATACCACAAATCCTCATGCAGATACTTAACAGAACCAGTATAAAAGAAGGGAAATACTAACGAACATTATTTGACGAAACAACAAACTATCAATGATTATGTTGGAAACTGCAATGGTATATAAATATATATTTTTGTTTGGGAAATTAGTTTAGATGAAGCCCATATGTGCAGCATAGTATAGCCATGGGCCCTACTACAGATGGACTAATAATGAGAGTTTTTCTTTGATCACATCATGACCACCGCCACCTGATAATGTGTATGTTGATTATTTAATCACGTATCATCACAGACAAACAAACCTTTTACATTTCTTCAAAATTCAAATTCTTTTCGCTGAGCCAGGGCCACAGTGTACTTCCAGGAAAAGTGTCGCGATTTAAGACCAGTTAGAGGAGCAGTGAACCCCAAATTATGACAATTTGTGTGATATGAGATTGATTATTAAAGAAGTGAACACTGGTGGACATACATCTGAACATGCCAAACATTTACTATCCTATTACCTTCTATTCCTTCGAAATGGATAGGATAAGTTTTAAAATGAACTTTAAAATCATTGTGTCACAGCCAAATTGACAGGTTTCTCTTGTAAACTACTTCTAATTTCCTATTGAAAAATTCATATGCGTCAATATTCACGCCACAACTGCATTTTCTTTTGCGCATGCATTTTGTAGATTCTTCAAGGCACAGCTTTGGTTCTTATATGGCTGGCTGGCGGCGGTCGTGATGAGATCAAAGCTTGGAAGCATGTTTGGAATGTCACTATATGATTCAGGTGCATGAATTAATGTATCATGGTACCGATCAGTGTCCATTTGTAGTAGGTCCATGGTATAGCAATGGAGTTACTAGCTAGTAAATCCACGGTATAGCGAAAGTCTCTCATGCATGAAGTGCAGTGAACAGTGTTGGTTGAGTTGTGCGGGTCGCGAACAACCTAGGTCAAAGTCACACACGTAAACAACAACGCAGTTTGGCTATAGGCTATACGTTAGAATATACCGTCTATCTATCTATAATAATCAAACAGCTATTGGACCGCGAGCCGTATATAGTTCGGATGAATCGGAGTTAACGGAAAATGATTATAACCAGAGACATACATGTACCATAATGACTTGAGATGTGCAGATGTGCAGGCGTGCCTGTGGAGGAAATACGATAATTATTTTGAACTGAATTATGCGACAGCTTAGATAGCAGTATAATGAAAGGTATGTATTCAATATCCTCTTCCAGTGTAAACAGGAGGATAGCGTTTCATTTCAGTCAAGCATTGAAATGGGATACCAGTGTTTAAGTGGATGCACTTTCAGTGAACTACAAACAAACAAACGAACACAAGACAAATTCCCTTTTAGTTGGTAAATATAAAGCAAACTATATACAGTGAAACTTTAGAAATAATAATATTGGATTATCTTTTTATTAATTCTGGATGAAATTTGACAGGGACACAAAGAAGGGTTGCATATCACATTAGTTACATAGATGAAATCTGATCGAATGGTTTATTAAGAATACGGCAGCCCGTAGGCTAAATTACTTTCAGTTAATAATTTCAGGTAAATATCAGTTTCGAAATGATTGTTAACATCCAATACATAAATATACAGTGTAAATTGTATAAAATGTATGTAGATGTAGAGCACCATTATAACTCTGTCGGTAATATTTTTTGAGAAAGGAATATTATTATGAATCAAAAGTTGTTGTATACGGAAGCAAATGAAGTGGTTCCTTGGCCCCGACTGTTTTCTAGTATGCCAGACCGTATTAGGTTCATGGTCAGCACAAGGATACATTTAGCGTCGCCGCCAGTATAATTTTTTATATTATGGTCTGACCTCTGACCCGATGCATGTTTGGCTAGACCATAGAGATAGTGTTAGTAGTATATATCTCTATGGGCTAAACAGAGTGTTGGTGCCTGGTTCTGCATGTATGCTCATCCTCCTAGCTCAGAAAGAGAGGAAGGTCGTTAGAGATTAACAAGGCTGTTTGCCCAGCCCCGCCCCTATGCATCTAGTTACGACGCCGATTTTACAACTGAAACCGCCTTTACTTACCAGGTCCCTATATATAGTGAGTCGGTCGATGTTGTCGACCGTCTAGGGGTGTTGTTGTTGTTGTTGTTGGTAGTTGTTTTATGGTATTTATTCGGTACTGAATATAAAATACGCCATATCTTCGGTTATACTATTCGGTTGGACCATCTTGGGTTTTGATCATGGTCCACTGAGATGTCCACACAGTGAATCCATGACCAGTGCACCATGGCAAATTTACAGAGTGTCACTCCTGTACATGTATATACGGTCAAGCTGTTCTTTTCATCATACGCCGTCAATACACAGACTGTACGCTACGTAATTTTTCTGTAACGGGTAAGCGTGTATACTGTTTTACACAGTCGTAGTAATAGACCATTTTCAAAATGTATTCACATATATTTACCTTCTGAGTCGATGAGCTATTACATTCACCTGTTATATCTGACTAACCAGAATGAAAATTGCATACACTTTGTTGTTGCTAGGTTGGACAAACATTACCATGATTATGGCATGCCCTATACCCAACAATATGTCATGTAAGAAATTTGCATGCTGACTAAAAGTATTATCATTCGTATAACAGGGAAATGAAATCATTTGTGACGAGGCACTAGCTTCACAAAGACGTGAGCATTACAGTGGATTACATTACGAAAATGGAATATTGTTCTGTATGCATGCAGTCATTCGTAAAAACATTGATGAAAGAGTATTTGGTACTCATGTTTTGTTCACCACCGTATCTCATATATATTTTTTCGTGTATCTAATCTCTACAATGATTTGTTTTCGTCATCCTTTTACCCATTTCAGAAGGCCTATTACTGCATTACTATTCTAAAGAATTTTGAATGAAGTATAACTGTTGTAATTTACTATTATGTATCGAAATATAAATTCTACTGCAATTCAGTCCGAGTGCAGTGATGGTGTTTACAGTACAATAAATATTTTTTCGGTTCAAATTGATTCAATTCTTCATGCTTGTCACTCTAGAAAAAAAACGGGGAGTGAAATATCTGTGCGTTTATAGCCTCTTAGTTCAGTTATTATTATTTTATGGTACTCTCTACAATTTGTGTTCTAGCTCTAATATTACATCGGCAGATCACCATACATCTCATACTGCACGTACATGTATGATGTATATGCCTTATTAGTTGTGACAGCATATGGCCAGGGTGGTGAAACGTCCCTCGTACGACCTTCTCATGATGTACACCATAATAAATATACTCTGACAGCATTCACTCCCACAGATATGATTTAGATAACATATTTATAACAGCTAAATACACATCTCTAGCTTCTCCCGCTTATCCTTTCTTCCTCCCGCCTCTCTCGCTCTCTCTCTCTCTCTCTCTCCCCTCTCTCTCTCCCTCCCCCTCTCTCTCCCCTCTCCGCTCCTCCCTCCTCCCTCCACTCCCTCCTCTGTTCCATCTTTCTCTCCATTCTTTCACTGTTCCTGTTGGCATTGCAATCAGGGGCGTCGCTAGACCTTTTTCAGTGGGGGGGGGGGGGGGGGGGGGGGTGTAGAGGCCAACGATTACCGACAAAAGTAGCCACCAATTACCGACAAAATTAAATTTCCAATATCTACAAAGTCAACCCTATAAACCTGGGGCCGAAGGCTAAATTGTTTTTCCTATGGACTATCTATAGTACTTGCATATGCGCAAAATGGTCATTTTCCTCGACGACATTAATATACGAATTATTTCTTAAATTTAGTCAGCATCATAGCTATATATTTTAATGCAGGCGCGGAGCTAGGATCTTATTTTAGGGAGGGGCGGTAGTGAGCAAGAGAATCACTTAAAAGCGCGCTCATAAGGGGGTGTGGGTGATGAGCCTCCCGCGCGAAGCGCGGAAGCTTAGACGTTTCTTTAAATTATTATAAAAAAATAAGACGATTTGCTGTACCATTCTCGACTGTTTATCCTTTTCTGAATTCAGTATTTCCCCCCCCCGCGCAAAGCGCGGAAGCTTTGACGTTTCATTAAATTATGAGAAAAAGCAGACGATTCGGCGTACTGTTCTCGACTCTTAATCCTAATCTGAATGAAGCTTCCCCCTCCCGCGCGAAGCGCGGAAGTTTTGACGTTTCATTGAATTATTAGAGAAAGAAGACGATTCGTCGTACCGTTTTCGACTCTTAATAAGCCCTATTCATCTGAATTCAGTTTCCCCCTCTCGCGCGAAGCGCGAAAGCTTTGACGTTTCCTCATATCATTAGAGAAAGAACACGAGTCGTTGTACCGTTTTCGAATTTAAATAAGCCCTATTAATTTTTCTGAATTCAGTTTCCCCCTCTCGCGCGAAGCGCGGAAGCTTTGACTTTTCCTTACATTATGAGAAAAAGCAGACGATTCGGTGTACTGTACTCGACTCTTAATCCTAATCTGAATGAAGCTTCCTCCTCCCGCGCGAAGCGCGGAAGTTTTGGTTTTATTAAATTATTAGAGAAAGAAGACGATTCGTCGTATCGTATTCGACTCTTAATAAGCCCTATTCATCTGAATTCAGTTTCCCCCTCTAGCGCGAAGCGCGAAAGCTTTTACGTTTCCTCATATCATTAGAGAAAGAACACGATTCGTTGTACCTTTTTCGACTCTAAATAAGCCCTATTAATTTTGTCTGAATTCAGTTTCCCCCTCTCGCGCGAAGCGCGGTAGCTTTGACGTTTCCTTAAATTATTAGAGAAAGAAGACGATTCGTCGTTCCGTTCTCGACTCGTCTAAATTAAGTTTCCCCTTGGCGTTTCATCACAATATAGAGAAAGGAAGACGAATCCTCGTACCGTTTTCGAATCTTATTAAGCCCTATTCATCTTAATTCAGTTTACCCCTCTCGCGCGAAGCGCGAAAGCTTTGATGTTTCCTCAAATTATTAGAGTAAGAAGACGATTCGTCGTACTGTTCTCGACTCGTCTAAATGAAGCTTTCCCCTTCCGCGCGAAGCGCGAAATTTTTGGCGTTTCATCAAAATATAGAGAAAGGAAGACGATTCCTCATACCGTTTTCGAATCTTATTATTATTAAGCCCTATTCATCTGAATTCAGTTTCCCCCTCTCGCGCAAAGTGCGAAAGCTTTGACGTTTCCTCAAATTATTAGAGAAAGAACACGATTCGTTGTAACGTTTTCGACTTTTAGTAAGCCCTATTTGTCTGAATTCAGTTTCCCACTTTCGCGCGAAGCGCGGAAGCTTTGACGTTTCCTTAAATTATTAGAGAAAGAAAACGATTCGTTGTACCGTTCTCGATTCGTCTAAATGAAGTTTCCCCTTCCGCGCGAAGCGCGGAATTTTTGGCGTTTCATCACAATATAAAGAAAGGAAAATGATTCGTCGTACCGTTGGTGACTCTTAAACCTCTGATTTCTTTAGCTGACATTATAGGAAAGTGAAACTTCGAGAAAATACAAGTATTGTAGTTGTAGTCACTCTCGAAGTCGTCACAGCGGATAAGAAGTCGCAGTTCGTAGGGAAAAAACTTGTCGGCCGACCGACAATATACATCTCACCGACTTCAAACTTATGCATTGATGAGGATCGAGCAAGAATACCGACACAGCTGACCAGACACAGCAACATATTTACCCGTGTCTTTCTTGCTCCCTCGACGAGACGACTCCACCCAACAACCCCAACAACCCCCTTTTCTCTTTTAGTCCCACTCCACCTCTCTCAGACTCTTACCTCCCCTCTCTCTCCTCTCTTTCATCCCCCGTTTCTTTTGTTTCCCTTTCACTCTTTTTTCTTCTTTTTTCCTTTTCTTTCTTTTCTTTCTTTTCCTTTCTTTCCTCTCCCCCCTCTTTTTTTTTTTTCTCTTTCTTTCTTCTCTTTTCTTTCCTTTCTTTTCCTTTCTTTCCTTTCTTTTCCTTTCTTTCTTTTCTTTTCCTTTTCTTTTTTTCTTTTCTTTCCCTTCCCCTCTCTTTTTTCTCTCTCTTTTTTTCCCTCTCTTTTTTTCCCTCCCCTTTTCTCTTTTTCCCTCCCCCTTTTCTCTTTTTCCCGACGGCAGCGCAATTTTACCGACAATATCCTGACAGGTGGGGGGGGGGGGGGGGGGGGTGTCGCACCCCCGCACCCCCCCCCCCTTTGGCGACGCCCCTGATATTTGCAATAGGTTCAAAAATATAATGTATATAATGTTCAATGGAAAATTAACTCTGTTTAGATTGCCACTAAAGTTTTACACAATAATTTAACTATGTCTAGAGAACTACGACTTAAAAATGAATATCAAAACGACGTTAGTTCGCTACAAAAAATGGTGTACAACCTACAGCTGATAGATTCTGCTTCAACATTCCGTGGTCATGGTCATGGTCATGTTTTGACCACGGAGTGTTGAACCATATACAATTCTCTTTCTTTCGTCTTCTTCTTCTTCTTCTTCTTCTTCTTGATTAAGAAATCATAGCTAAGAAGATAGAAATTATATTTGGTGAAAAATATACAGGCGCGGATCCAGGATTTCTTAGGGGAGGGGGCCCAATTTTTTTTTTTTTTGCTCCCGAAAATTTGAAAAACGCGCCGGCCAAAAATTCGCTCAGTTGGGGGGGGGGGGGGGGGGGGGGGGGGGGGGGGGGGGGGGGGGGGGTTAGTGAGCACATTTTTTTTTTTTTGATCCTCAAAAAAATTTCAATTTGCACCCCCCCCCCTTGAGCGCCAGGGGGGGGGGCCCAACCCCCCAAAAAGGTAAAAATCACGTGATTTTACATGATTTTTTTCTCCCCCCGGCCCCCCTGGATCCGCCACTGAAAATATATAACGGGGAACAATTGTGACTAATTCATCTAGAAATACCAAAATATACCAGTTGATGACAAATCTATTTCATATTGAGAAACCTTAAACCAAGAAAAGCGCCAACTTATTCATGCAATTGGCATTCTGGCAATTGTAGTACAATGAAAATAGTTGGTGAATGACATGCTTCATCACCACACACACACCTTGAAAGAATCATTCATAAATTAGATAACAATTGCTTGGTAAACTTGGTAATTATGCAACACCGTTCATTATGCAACACCTTATCTACATTTATTTGTATGCAGGGTCAACAAACATGTACTACTCTGACATCACTATTGCAATCAAAATGGCCTCCCACACGAGAGAATGGCCATATAATGAAACTGCAACATTTGTGTAGAAATAGTTTTCCTTGCTACGTAATCAGTAATTTCCAGATATCTATAACTGGCTGACAGTTTGGAATGATTATCAGCTAATGTTTGTTGGCTTTCATTCTCTTTTAATCATCAAGTTTAGTCATTTATCTTACACCGTTTAAAAAAAAAAAAAATACTATCCCCAATTTTC